ATATATTAATAATAATAATTATGAACTTATGAATTATTAAATATATTAATAATAATAATTATATTAATAATCGTAATTTTTATTTAGGAATAACGGAACTGTCGATGGACAAGCAGGAATCCGACGACGACGACGACGACGACGATGAAGAGGAACACTGGAAGGACGCATCGCCTATCACCCCCACGTGCAGTCCAACGAAACACCCTCCTAAACCACCGCCGGAGGCGAAGAGGTCAAAGGTCGAGATCGACATCCGCGACTTCCAGCCTACGAGCCCATTAGAAGAAAAAGACGTGATAATCATCGACAGTGACGTCACGCCTCCGAGTAAAAAACTTGCAATGAAGTACAACCGAGAGATCAGCGGCGTGGAGAAAGTGGCGCCAAAAGTGAAATTAAAAGAAGAGACGGAAGAAGTATTGAAAAAAGTAGTCGAGGCACCCGTCGAGAAACGAAGAGAGGACGCTGGGAAGAGGATTTTGAGACGAATGGACTCTGAAGAAAGGATGAGCAAGGACGAAATGGCTGAAAAAGGTGCTAGGAAGAAGATCTTTAAAAAGAAGGACCAGGATCGAAGGTCTTCGAGGAGAAAAGACGAAGAAGTAGAAACAGACGATAGGAAAAGCATTCGTGAAGAGGAATTCCTGACTAAGCAGAGTCCCCTCGGTTATTCTTCGCTCGCCCCAAGCATCGAACCGGAAGCGATTGCGCAGCCATCTGAAACTGTCAAACAACAACGAATCGCTCGTCCATCCAGTCTCGTAGAGCCTCAAAAGGCGACTAGTCAATCAGAAGAATTTCTACGACCTAAGAAAAAGGACAGAAGTTCAGACGAGATGAAGGAGCAGAAAAAAGTTGAATCGTTAAGAACGCCTCTTTCCGAATCGGAGAAACGAGTGCCAATGACCGTAACGCCGGATAAGCCGAGCATCGCCGAGGTCAAATCGGTCACCAGTCCGGAAGTTGAAGCACCGTCTACGAAACGTCGAAGTTCAATGAGGAAGAAACCTGGGGTTTTCTCTAGAGAATCGTCTAGGGAATCTTTACTAGACGACACTAAAAAAGAAGTCAGGATACAAGAAAATGTTGAAGAGATCTTCTTCGAAGACACCAGCGAACAGATCACTGGAATAATTCCAGAAATTCAATTGGTCAAGGCCAGAATCATCACCGCGGAAGAGGCGGCGGCTCACAGAATAGAAGAGCCGGTGAGGGTCGAAGTTCACTCGCCACCGGAAGTCATTTCACTGTCCGACTCGATTCGAGTAAAAAGCGGAAGGGTGCCTTCGCCCGAAACCGTCAGCATGTCTCATTTACAGTTGGTCAGTCTAGGAAAATCTACGTCTGAAAACACTCTGATCGATACTGAAGAGAAGACGAAGGACGAGAGTAAAATTTCACAGAGGAACATCAAAGCTGAGATTTTGTTGGACCTGTCGAAGGTCACGGACGACGACGACGATGAAGAAGTTGCGGATGAACAGAGGCAGGAGAAGAAATTAACCAGAACGGGTAGCGATGGGTCGAAGAGGTTCAAAGGTCACAAGTTGAAGGAGAGAGATGGATTCATGATCGGCAGCTTGGCGAAACCAGATCAACCGGAACTCACGGTTCTATTGGAGAGCGCGGCTGTTGAGAGGAGGAGGAAGGAAGTCGACGAGGACCGGGACAGTCTTCTCGATTATGGCATTGAAAAAATTATCCGGAGGTAAGTAGAAATTATAAATATATGTCAACAAAAACCAATCCGGAAGCAGAATTATTTTACTTCCCTTAAAAAAATCGATACTTTCTTTAAGTATTTCAGTATTTCTGATCCCCCAAAAAATTAACCCTTTCATAAAACGGTAAAGAAATGTGCAAGTTTGAGATGGCTGGTTCCTATAATCAATATTATATGAGCTGCCTAGTCCCCATATTACTTTACTTCCCTTAAAAAAATCGATACTCTTTTTAAGTACTTCTGATCCTCAAAAAAATTAACCCTTTCATAAAACGATAAAGAAATGTGCAAGTTTGAGATGGCTGGTCCCAATATTATATGAGATGCCTAGTCCCCATATTACTTTATTTCCCTTAAAAAAATCGATACTCTTTTTAAGTA